GAATGACCTCCAATAGGGGAGGGGTATGGTTCTACATTATTGCCAGCTGAGATTTTCGGGCGTCCAGCATTTATACTTTTATATCACAATATGAAGGACAAATCGCAACTTGATTGAAATTAAACATAGTTTAGGGTCAGTGCACGACCTCGTGGCGTCGGACGAAGGATGGTAGGGGATGTCCAGGCCAGGGGTTTGGTGCCCAACAAACTCAACATACAGTGCGATTATATCCAAACATTGTCATCGATATATACGTTACTACCAGAATAACCGACTTTTTGTAGGCCTACGTGGCTTTCTAGTCCATGGAGGTCAATGGGAGGATCGCTTCTCTCCGAAAGTATTAGACCTACTATGCCTATTATAAGACTAAAAATAGCATGGCACACCCAAGCTAGTTTCTACCAAATCAAAACTGCTGATTTTTTCCCGGGGCTTTTGTCCTTGCACCCTGACCTGGGACCTTTCTTTTCCTTTGGTTCCAGATTGGATTCACTTTAGTCTGCATTAGTTTCTCCATCACTCTCAAACGTGCCACCACCTATATCAACATCACTTACCATGCATCATCATCGTCGACGTCATCGCCATCGACATCATCACCGTCACCATCATTATTATTTATCGTCAAAGTTACCAACTTGAGAGATTTGAAATGCGTCGTGACTATACTAGTTGGCTGGGGATGTAGGGGGGGGGGAAGCGGCGTGAGCGACTACACCAGTTGACTGGGCCCCCGATCTAAGCGTTTTTAAGCTGTTTTAAAACGATTTTAGGGAGTGTTTGTTAATAATACAGGTACATAAGCAAAAATATTATTATAAAGCCAATTTGAGTTTCAATGTAGGCCTATGTTTAATTTGAGCACCCGAACTATGTAGACCTACACAAACATTTCATTACTGATCAATTTTTAGTAACTCGTTAGTGAAATAAGTAGAGCCTTCAAGGAAATACTGTACTCTATTATTACTCAAGTTACTGCATCACCGTTTTTATAGTTTTAATACAACCGATTTCTTATAATTTTAAATACATTTTCCCCTGATTGTGATAAATCGTTATCACGCATGGACTTGTTTTAAATGCGTGACAAATTTAGGATCACGCATTTGCAAAATGTGTGTTTTATCCAAAATCACTTTGAAATGCGGGACCACATTTGGCTAATCTGGTGGTAGCCAATGTGTGTGCCCTGAACCATGGAGATCTCTAGGTTCCTGGTTCAATTCCCATCGCTGACTCTCCTTGTGTTTCAGCTAGAGTGCTGAAATACAAGTTACAATAGCGCACGTCTTTCTGATGAGACGTTTAAGCCGTTGGTCCTGTGTGCATTTATGGCCCATGTGCACGTTAAAGAACACTCTTCGGAAAAGAGTAGGGGACTGTCTCCCGGTGTAGTGTCCAATCACTACCAGAAGGACCCCACTGAAAATAAGTCTTCCTCTAGACTTTCGTGGGTTATCCCTGGTGTTTACACCGAATAAATCCAATCCAATCCAACCGTCCCGCACGCTGCGAGCCGGTTGGTAACTATGTATCGTCGTCATTAATAATAATAATAATAGTGTAGTTTTATATAGCGCACAAATCCATCTAATGTAAGATGCTCAGGGCGCTTGAAATGTGGACGTTATCGTCATCATAACCGTCATCGTTCATCATCCTCTCATAATAATCATCATTGATTTAAATTTTTGTCTGGGCTTGAAGGTAAACAAGGTTTAAAGATGTATTGTCTCTTGAAAATGGCAAAAAAAATACGGTAGTTTTGAAATTAACTTGTTCATTTTTGCAGTAACATACACACATTTTTAACTTGAGCATATAAATTATTGAATTTTAAAAATGTGTACCCTGATTTTTAAACTGGATAATTATAATAGAAATAATAAAACACTTTCAGTGATTAGAAGTGTTTTTATTAGGCCCTATTTTTTGTGGTAAAATGGCGGTGAACCATTTTTTAAATACACTAAATTTTATGTTTAAGTTGATACATTTTATGTTACTTCAAAATGGGCAAGTACATTTTTAAAATTATTTTTATGATTTTTTTTTAGTATTTTGCATGGGACAGTACATTTTTTAAGCGGTAGGACCTCTGGAGCCCTGATACAATTTCACTGTTCCCTGCTGATACCAACCACATTCAACAACATTGTGCCCCTCTCCACCCACAAACTGAATCGGCCTAATGTTAGTAGTACTCTATTATGTCTTTATCACCATGGTAGATATCTCTATGGAAGGTATACCTGCAAAGTCTGTCTGCCATGACTACCGGTAGCCTATACCAAGGATTGACTAAAATTTATGTGTAATCATTACTAAAGGCTTACCAGAAGCAAACACAGCACTTACTCTTTTTTTTACAATTCAAGTTTTAGTAGAACTCATCTAGAGCGTGGTAAATAATTCATTAATGTTCCAGGCTGAACTTCGCAAGACAATGTAATTAAAATTCGACGAGCAGTGTGTTCATTAATGTGTAGGCATAGGAGGCTCATTTGCATAGCATACAGTAGGCCTCTCCTGTGTTTTATTCATTGCACAGGCCTATTGTATATTTCACATCTGAGTACCCTCCACGCCGGCGTGTAAATAAAATTGCAATATGTTATAGTCATTATTGTTTTATGTATTATAATTATATAGGCCTAATAGGCCTATTCGTGTTTCTTGCACTTTTTTGAATAAGCTACTATTAATTCATCGTTATAATGATAAGAAATTAAATTTATTATTATTAATATTTATTAATATTATTTTCTACAGCTTTACCAGCTGCTCCTAGCATCCAGAGGTGCCATATTTCTAACATAGACATTTCCATGCTAACTTTATATATATTGCGGCTGCCCTTTGAGGGAAGGGATAGTAGCTCAAGGTTGACAGCATCTATTTCCTGACAGTTAAGGTGCCAATAAACAAGTTGTTTACCAACCATGGAGGGGCTAAAGTGAATATGATATGCTCTCAGACCTCATTAACTTCAAAATCCTGTATCCGTGGACATAGATAGCTGGTCCCCACTGGTCAGTTACTAACAAATTTGTCAAGTGTGTGCCCCCTCCCCCCAACCTCCCACTATAATGACCGATTTGCATAATCCTTCCGATGGATAGAAGGTTGATCGCCCGATTTGAATATTTTGTCGTTCTAGTAAGCGGGCTACAATAATATCATCTTCGCTGCAAATAAACATTCAGTCATTACAAAGCAAATTTTTTTAATTTCATATTGAAAGTATTTGCTGCGAGTATTTGCTGCGAAGCAGCCAATTCATATTCTTGACAGCAATTTGACCTCTGAAAGGTCATTGTTTGTCAAAAATCAATCGCCTGAGACAAGTGAAAAGCGGAGTTTCCTTCTTTCGTTCTGCCGGGTAAAATCAATTACCTAAGGCGACGTTTGTAGACTAACCTACTCGTACCAACGTCGGCATGTCGCGACGCTGGAGTACTATTCAGCGTTTTTACTATATTTCTAGGTTTCCTATTTCTACGTTTAATCGGCTCATGTCTCAGTAATCGGCTCATGTCTCAGCCACAATATTTTGAGGACAATATTATTCACGAACCCAGTTAAACTTATTTACCAGCCTATTTCAACGTGCTAATTATTACATTTAGGCGACGCTTGTTGTAGACTGGCATAAGCTATGTTCACACACACGGCGTAAGGCTGGCTTAAGCCTGGCGTAGCGTACGCCTTTGTGTGTGAACTAGGCAGTGGCGTTGTTAAAGCCACTCACTACGCCACGTCCTTGGCGTTATTAACGCTACCTGCAGACCCCAGATTAGCTAACGCCAGTGATGCTTGAATGATTTGACCTCATTTCAAGATATTGACCAATCACGATTGCAATATATTAGCTACTTTGGTCTCTTTTCTGTGCCCTCTATAAATGAAATGGTGAAGGGGTTCCTTTTCTATTGCATTTTACTTAGTTATAATGTATATGATTTATTGATTGTATTTTGTAAGATATTTTAACCATTTAGACTGTCTATTAAAACATGCAACATCAACAATGCTAGCTGAAAAAATCAAAAGTAAAATTGTTCATTTTAAATACAATAATCATATATGTTCACTTCGAACAATTCACAGATTTAAAAGTTTTCATGATTCACTGTTAATTTTACTACTGTTAACACGTACATTATTTAAAACTGAAAACTATTCCACATAGGCCTATAATATTACTGCTAGTTTAACGAACGCCGTTTGTGTGAACACTTTGGAATTTTAATCCGTGGATTAGCTTACGCCTGGCGTAAGCCACGCCAGTCTTACGCCGTGTGTGTGAACATAGCCATAGTGTTTGCGGAAATAAATACCATTTTATACACATGCGCAGATCGATTCGCCAGCAGCGAGTCATCGCCAGCAGCAGCGAGCCATCGCCAGCAGAGAGGACGGAAGCAATTAAGTGCCATTCGACTTGACGACTTGTCAAGATAATTTATGTTGTCAAGTCGACATAATATACATATCATGTCGACATGGCGAGATAGATTATCTTGACAAGTCGTCATAGGGCATAATATACAGTACTGTAGGTTAGAAATGTGGAAAGTAAAACATTAAATAAATGACTTTAAATTACTTACAAGCCACGACAGTGGTGTAAGTTTTACTGATATTATTGTTCCTGTATTTAATCTTGTTATTAATATGTATTTTATTGCTTCTGGGAGATTAAAATTTTCCGTGGTTCCGAGGCCATAACAATTGCCATTAATATTTAGTAGGCCTACTTTCATTGTTCAACAAGTGACGTCCGACGACATAGGCCCACCTTGTCCGGCAGATATGGGAAGAGGTCTCTGACTATAGTGAACACAGGAGTACACAGTTTACCTTGCAAATAATTTTTTATTCGATGTATGGAAAGAGGATCTCGGGTTTTAATCTACTAGCTAAACCATCGATGTCCTATTCTAACATGCACTAGGGCGGACGTGCTATATGACACTACCCTGTACGTATGAATACAAAGATTACAATAACAATATAAAGCAACATAGTCAAAATAATGAGAATTGATTAAGTGTAGAAAAAAAAATTTACTTTACCGAACGCATTTGAGACAGAGTAACCGGCTGTGAAGTATCCGGTGCTGTTAGTTGACATATAGAGCCTGTCTCTTATACACATCTTCGTGCTCATATTATTTGTTATATTTTTATTATTCATTATTTTCACTTGACTCCCATAAATAATTTTGTTCGAAGAACATTTTATGCAGTTGTACTTCGCAGCACTTCACTTGCAATTTGCAATTTCTAGTTTTAAATAAAGTAAGCAATAGTAATACAGTTTTTTTTTTTCTGTTCTGATTTTTTATGTGTAGGTGGATATCTAAACCACAGACTTTATATACAACAGGAACAATTGCCCTGTATCAGTGTCACTAATGTATTAACAGAAAAAACCATGGTGTACCGTACTGTAGTGTATACAATGAATACATGAGAGTACGGTTAGATATCAACACCCCCACTTACTTACTTGATGTTAAATCATTAATCATTTTCCACATCATCGTTTCTATAGAATTAGGCAGTAGACACACGCTCCCGCTGGGAGCCTATTTTCTCTTTAGCGCAACAGACAACGCTGTATTCTGCATGTGATATAGATTAAAATCAGATTAGCGCCCTCTATACAGACAGATAAGTTCGTTGCGAAAAGAGGTATGCTTGCGAAAAGTTCTGTTCGTTTCATAATTCATTGGTCTTTAGTCAGCAAAATAATATTTGACAAATATAATGCATTTTATTATTTTCATTATACACAAAACTAAAATACTGTTCAATAAAGCATTCAATTCTAAAAAGGCATAGAGACAATACTAAGAGCTTTCATTAAGAGTTGGACTTTTATTATTATATGAGTTCGCTGGGAAAACATTGAAGTTTATAAATTGAAAGAAGATATCTTTCGGTTTATGTGCTCATGAAAGTTCGTATCGCATCTACAGTATAATTATTTTAAAGTAATAATAATGTGGTAAATTGATTATCTAAACAGCAAATAATAAACTTAATAATAATAATAATAATAAATTAATTTCTTACGTCATAATACAGTAAGAAGTGTTTAACTTTTATTTTTTTAAACATTTCTTCGTGTTTTTATGCGTTCTTTTATCCAGTATCAAACACAACAAAGGACAAAAGAAAGAAAAAAGGTAAAACAAAAATAAGGAAGGTGCCAGTTCAATGATTTTCAAAGTAAAACGTTCGTAAATCATTAACAATTAATGTTGATGCATCTGCGATTTATTGAAAAAGTTGATAATTGAGTATATGGTTTTCTACATTAAATTTTCATAATATTTTAACCGCAAACGGAGACAGCTTAAACGAGAGTAAACTAAGAACAAACGGAGATTTCGACATGTCAAAATCCAATCAACCAACCTCTGATAGGCAATGTTGCTTGGTAGCTGATCAGACGCGTTATACGCTAAAGAATGAACCAATCAGGTGCCGCACAGCCTTAAACGCAATTTAAGATACCTGCTGTGAGATGCAGCTCATTCGCACAAGTAAAACAGACCAGCAGTTTCATCTCATCTTTCTTTTCTTATTGTTTGTGTTCTATTCTATTTCATACACGGACATTATTACACGACAGTACGGTAATTTCAATGTGGGATTATCTGTAACTTTGGAAATATCATTGAAGCATTTCGAAAAACCTTATCGACAGTGATGAACTGAGGTGATGACGGACTATTTTCGCTGAAGATCAGAGGAGCGTAAACTCAGATCCGAGACAAAACGTGGGGCACCACATCTTGAGGCAGCAGCCATCTCTTTAATTCACTGGTGTCTGACTTATTATAATAATGTCAAAACATATAGTGAATTTTGTCCGATATGTCTGTAAGTTTCATTTTTTATTTAATCTTTGTTTAATGTGAATATTGAGTTGTTGGTCTAAGCTTGAACTCAATTTGATAAGCCAGTCTCTTCGGGTGGTCCTCTTGTTGTCGTGATTAAGAACTTGAGTTTAATTTGATTTCTTCACACTCACCACTAAAAAGTAAAATGATTATTTTACCGGTACTTCAGTAACGCAAAGTGTTTGTGTATCCTCTGTTATAGTAGGCTAGTAGCATATTGTTGATGATGAATTCATATTTATTTAAATTAATGGGCTTATAAATGTGTTATGATTTTATTTATATAACTAAAAACATGGCATACATATTTAACATATATTGTAGTTTATTTAATAATTCGTTCATCAGTGTTTTATTGATTATACTTCAGCCATGTTTCTGTAGCACTTGAGTTTACCACAGTGGTGGCGCCAACAGTGGCCAGGAGCCATTCCCTCCCCCCACCCCCCATCAGGGAGAGCTGGCTGTCGGGGAGAAAAACACAATTCGTCAGGGAGAAGAAAACATTATATGTATATTCTACATATTAGTAGACTCTAAAATTGATTAAATAAGCCTTGAAACCCCTAAATTTTCAAAATTTGTGGGAGCTTCACCCCCTGGGACCACTTTCAAAACATTTGAAGCAACACTCAGCCACACCCACTTGGTTCTCGTCAGGGAAATCTGCCCCTCGTCTGGGGCATTGGAACCCCCCGTCGGTCACCTCGTACCCCCCGTCGGGAAAATCCTGGCGCCACCCCTAGTTTACCATGGATTTGATAAATTATCTGAATCCATCCATCATGTGCAGTTGGTTGGATTTTGGAAAGTTGACATAAACATGTTGGATGTATCAGATTGCTGGTCTATCATTTACAGCAGTGGTCAGGAAACTATGGGCCATGACCACATTATTATTTTGAACGTGTGCAAATCCAACAGACTGCTTAAAATGGCGTTTTTATGGTGCCAAGTGTTAAATAGGGGAGCTAAGCTATCAAATTGGGGTCAAACAGTGTCTAAAGACTAGCAAGATCTAGGGAAGGGATGGCGGAACCCTGGTGTCCAGATAGGCAGGGGTCCCAAGTTGGAAGAATCCACATCCGGGAGATCTGTTTAATTGAGTTTTCTTAACACATTATGTTGCTGTGCATGGTGATAACCATTGGCACTGACTTCTGTGAGTACAATTAATACAGTAAAAACATGAATTTGCAGGAGATGGTTTATTTTCCAGAAGATTCTTCGCAGGAGTGCAGGCCTTCCTGCCGATTTTTAGGAGACTCCATCCTGGGACTCAGGAGGAGACTTGGGAAATCTAGGCATTAAATGTAGTCTTTAGATTTCTCTCTTTATACTGAAATTGTAGCCAGACATGAAGTCCTGTAATCGTTTTACCCAACTCCATTAAAATGTTGCAGATTACTAATATCGCCCTAACAATAACATTATCGTTATTCAATATACACAAAACACTGTATGCAAAACAACTTATGATGTACATTGTCTTATCTTTTTACGTGTAAATCATATATAGCAAAATTTATTATAGAAAAATTGCATTAATATAATTTTTATAGTGGTCTTATAATTGGAGAAAAATTTTTATTTGAGTCTGCCAAAACCATGGTCTTTGGTCTCAAAATAGAGTCTTTAATTTGAGGCGAACAGCTAATGATAAAAGATAATACACATGAAAACATTCAAAATTTTATGAATTTGTGGGAGATGGGTTATTTTCCGGGAGATTCTTGCTTACTTGGGGAGGGGGGTGCGGGAAGCCATCCCCATTTCTGGGAGACTCCCATGACTTGCAAGAGACTTGGGACCCTTAGATAGGTCAGTTTGGTCTGATGTGGTAAAGGGATAAAATCCTGTTCTCAGACATCCTAAAGCATACTATTTATTAGGTCAAACAAGATTTTTTAGTAATTGTTTTTCCCTTTTTTAGTCCAGTGATTTGTAGACGAGGAAGGGGGACCTGACTGATGGGAAGACTTAAGCCCCACAAGCCCCCACCCCTGCTGTCACTGTAGTTGCTACAGAGGATGGCCTAATGATTTCCCAATTTTCAGTTTCAACATAGTGTTAAATTGGACAAGGTACAGTACTATAATTAAACTGTAACTAGTAAGTTAGTGTTTACTTTCCCATGGCTATGAAATATCAGAGTTGTTTTGTGAATGTTTTGTTTCCAAACTAAAGTGGTATGTCCAAAGTGTCAAGATTTCTGCATACTTCCAATACCACTGTTGGATGTTTAAAATGAAAGAAAACCTACTACCTCTTAAAAATTCAATTAAGTACTGACTTACTTCAAGACTAGATTATAGGCAACTCTAAACATGTCCTGATTGGATAAGAATGTCAGGTAGGTCAAAGGCATTAAAATGTAATTCCTTGCAAAATGTAATTTACCCTATAAAAGCAATGTTTCAAGGACTTTGTGCATGTTTGCTTGTTCCCGTCCCCATTCTTATCATCACCCACTCCCATCAGCACCCCTCCCTATGTCAATATTCCTAAATATTGATGGCCTGCACAGTGTCAACATTTATTTTTGTTAGGTATTATTATTTGCCATTGCTTGTTTTCAAAATATAATATTTATACTCTGTAGTTCCTCTAGTATAAGCCCAGGGCGGCCCCCTTAAACACAAAACTGGGCCCAGTTAGGGATATGGGCTTACACCTGGGAAATCGCCTATTCGTAAGAAAAAAACCCAAAATGACATTACTCATTTTAACTGTCAAGTATGCCCTATACTGTAGTTTGTAAATATCGCCAATCAGACGACAAAATTTCAACAATGTATGACTTTCAAATCCAATTTTTGATTTTCCTTTGAACTTCAATAAATAAATCGTACAATAATCATAAATAATATTACAGTATTTTATCTGTAAAGAAAAGGAAAATTCTAGAAGCTTTTGTCTGGATAAATTCTAATGTAAAGTTTGAGTCCGTGTAAAGTTTTATTTATTACTTTTTTTATATTAGTTATTTTTAATGTATTTTCTTAAATTTAATTATTGTTAGCTCTGTTCATTGGCTTCGTTTTTAATCATGTTTCATTTATTTGCATTTCAGTAGTTTGGTTTAGCAGTTTTAAGCTTTGTATCATTTTTCTCTCACGTTTTTAGTTTCAGTTTGTACATTTTGCTTTTTGTAAAGCGCATTGAACAGTTTGTTTTAATAGAAAATGTGATATGTATAAGTTATTATATTATTATTAAAGTTGAAATACGGTAATAAAACAAATTGAATAATTAATAATAGAATGATGTAACAAAAGCATGATTGATTCTGTGTTTCCTCTGTATTGTAGAAAGCCTTTACGAATGATTGAATTACCCTAATACACTTTCAACATGCTAACCAGTATACAGATGTTAATTTCAGTTTGATTATAGTGGTGAAGCTGGTTTTCTCATAAAACTGGCTCAACATGCCTGTTTCTTGATAATATTATAAGTCTTAAAGTAGCCACTCCCAGATTGATAAGATATTTTGTATAGGGAGTTGATTGTTAACAGTCTTGTAACAATGACATGTTATGACATATTTATATTAAATCATAATATTTTGAAAACCTTAAAAAAAAAGAAAAAAAAAGAAATACATTAGAAGTACTAGACAGTTCTCTCTTTAATTAAAGACTACTTTTCTGTGTCCCCAAAAGCACACTTACCTTTTACTATACCATAATAATAATTACCTTTTGATATATAGATGAAGCTGCTAAAGAACAAAGTGGTCTTTAATTAGAGACAAGATCTGTAGTATTAAAAATCTATTATTACTATAAAATTAAAAGGATTCAGCCAATTTAATATTCTTAATCTAAATAGGCAATATACAGAAGGTATTAATTATGCAAAAAATGTACTTTCGTTTCAATTGAAATTTAATATTAAACATATTAAATAAACAAAGTAATCCAAATATTTAATTTCCCTTCCCCCATGTTCTTCTAGCTAAACAGAATATTTTCAGATATTGATTCACATTAGCCTGGTTCACGTCGAAGTTAAGTCACTTATCGAAATCTTGAAATATGATACGATTTTCCCTAGTTGCGTGCGATGCCAAGTTAGAGCCAGATAAACAGCCAGCCAGCCGTCGACGTCACACGGAAAGGCTTGTTTAATAAAACGTCTACTGTATTTTACGAACCTCTAGTACCAAGGGGTATTCGTAAAAAAAATTGACAAATTCGTAAGCTACTGTAGATCAGGTGTCAGTTTCCACTATCTAGCCTAGCCGACCAGTACGAACCAACCAACAGTGCAGCAGCATGGTCTATCGCAATCTAGTAGTGACTCTAGGCCCTAGCTAAATTTACCTTTGATAAAAAACAATTATTTTAATCGCTAGAATTCTCCCATTTAACAAAATATTGTTTTAATTCTCATTAAAATGTCTGTATACTTTATGGACTTTCTGTCGCTCAGTTGTGTTGTTTACATGCACTTCGCGAAAATCTAGCTTCGCGGTGTCAAATAAGTTGCTGACTTCAACACACTTTTTTATTTTGTCATCGTAAACATGTGCGCTCATTTTTAACGACTGGCATTGTCGGTAGTTCGTTGAAACTGAAATAATAGTGACTATTATAGCGGAAATAGAAAAGATTGAATTGTCAATAAATAAATAAATACAACAAATCTGATTTTATTATCAAGAATATTATATATTATCACTTTGGAAAACATACTCAATCAGAATTTTTTATGTTATTACTTGGTCGATGATGCAAAGGGCAAAGGTCATTTGTAATATCGACTATTCATAAAATGGACGTTTGCTGGTTTTTAACCCAAAATATAATACAAATAATTTGTGAAAACCAGACTAATGAGACTACTTTGCTGCTGTTGTTAGTAATGTTGGAGTACGTTGTTGCCAGCCAGAGGATGATAATGGTGGTACAACACAACGCTGGCTTAGATGCCTACATTACGTAATCGTGTCCTTGTAATCCAAGCCGACTTTAC